AAGAACACATTAAAAAACAGAACTTACAACATGAAGTGACCTATTCCAGAAGGTTAGGGAAAGGTAATTGTTGGGATATCTCCCAGGGTATTAGGTAACCACCTCTAGATGGAGGGGTGAAAGGAAAAGAATACCTTGGCCTGTGTATGTATACAACCCAGTGCATGGGCTGCATTGTGAAACATAATGAAGCAAGGGGGTATCTGTGACAAGCCTGAGAAATTAAGCTATCTTACAGACGTGATGTAAAGCGGTTTACTGGGGAGAGGAGAGGAGTGAGGGCCTGGGAAAGGGATGGAGGCAGACAAGTGGACGTGTAGACAGCAGACAGCAGACCTGTGATGACAGAGAGAGGGAACAGAGAAGGACAAAGAGGTGACACAGAGGAAACAGAGAGAGAGAGAGAGAGAGAGAGAGAGAGAGAGAGCGCGCTGGGGTTGTGGGTGGGTTCTTTTGCTGGCGTCACACACCTGGTGCACCTGGTGGCAGCAGGTGATGAGGTAAGCAATTGCTAGGTCCCTAGGGGGCAGGCCATGGGAGTCACCTGTAGGCTAACATTCCTCTGAGTTACAGCACTAATGTTATAAAATATAATGTGGTGAGGCATATCGTCTTTGTGGGCCCCAGGCAAGGTGCACCCTGAGAAATTATGCCATGCAACAGATCTGGTATAAACGGGGTTTACTGGGGAGGGAAGAGGAGTGAGGGCCTGGAAAAGGAGATGGAGACAGATAGGTGAACATGTCGATAGACAGACAGTGGGACCATAAGAGCAGGGGTCAGGGAGGGGGCTGCACATCTGCAGAAAACAGAGAGGATGCTAGGAACAGACTGAAAAAGAGAGAGCTGCTGAGTAGAGGGTGGGTCCTTTTGTGTGCAGCACACACCTGATGTTCACCTGGCAGTGGTAGCAGTTCATGACTTAAGTAATTGGTAGGTCCCTGAGGGCAGGCCAGCGGAATCCCCTGTACACTAACATTCCTCCCTAACAATGTGAAGCTATTTCTTAAAGCCCTTGGAATCTCTTCTTGGATGACCCACTCTAGCCTGTGGAAGAAGTGATGCTTCCAGTGTTTCCTGATCTGAAGAGAGCTGGAGAATTTTTCTTCTGAGAGTAGAAACAAGCTCCTAATTAAGGCTAAGCAGGAGGGAGGCTGTGCCTCCTTGTGCTCAGAGGCCTAGTATGTTCACCTCTGTTTACTCGTGGGAGAGAGAAGCAGAGCCTTGAGAACAGAGAACTTTAGGAGGCACAATGGTCCTGATTAGTACAGATTATCCAAGCTCCTGCTAGAGAGAAGCAAGGCCTGCTGCTTGCCCAGAGAGAACCACTGCCTGCCAAGCATAGACTCTTCCAGAAATCTAGGGAAGTTCTCTCCTACATTGCCAGTGTAAGAACTTAACACCTTACTTATTCAAAGAATGAAAAATCTGATTAATCTATAATCAAGCATAGACCAGGGTGTGAGAAAACTCTAGATTGAACCTTGTGTCTCATTGGTCTTATATGGGAAAGTTAGAGCTGGATTTTGACCAAGTTCTCATAGAGATAGGCCTCCTTTTATTATGACTAGGGTTTAAAATACAGTGGTGTTAGCAGTGCTTGGGGCCATTAGAAATCACAGCTCTTTGTGTGTTATGGTTGTTGCTGAATGATTTTAAATAATAGTATTAATTTAATGTTAAGGGTAATATTAAAGGACATCTATGTAGATACCAGGACCCATATCCTAAAGTGCCTTCTAGGCTCTCTGGCTCCTAGGCTCTCCGCTCTGGCTTCTTACTCAACTCCATTCTTACCTTGGTCATCGCTCATATTCAACCCAGAAATCTGCTCATCCCACGTCTCCTTCTTGGGAAAATGAGACTGTAATTCCAATACAAACAACATTGATGGATGACTTGAGGAAGACAGAGGCCTCAGGTTACCGTTCTCAGGTTTCTTGGTTGCAATACAGTATAGAATAGAAGCCACTTGACATCCTATTGAAGAACACCATGCATGCAAAGCATAGTACAAGAAAGCAGGTATCTGAAAGCATCACAGGTGCTCTTCCCTTTCTTCAGTTAGCCGTTGTCACTGGGCCCATCAAACATGAGTCAGTGCCTGCAAAATATTCGTGCATTATTGCTATATCACAAACTTGGGTTGTTTTTTAAGATTTTGATAAATATACTCCAGTGGAATCAATTTTCTTCTTTTATACCGTATATTACATTTTATGTACTTAAAATTCATTCTGGGCACATTTTATAAGATTCTCAGTTGGCTAAAGAAAGATTCATGGCACACAAAATGTTACTATCGCCCAGCTAAGATCTTGTAGTTGTGGCATATGACCTCCACCTGGTGGCAGCAACCTCCTTAAAGGTTAGATCTATAACCAACAATTGAGAACAAATTCTAAGCACAGCCATATACTTGAATATGGTTTTCAAACATTGTTATGCTACAGCCCACAAAGCATCAGCCTTTCATCATAATTCATATGCAGATTTATGTTTCGCAAAACAATTCTCAATCTTAGTATCCGACACACTGATATTTTTTATGGCTTTCTAATATTCTCCTGGATTTTCTTAATTAAAAAACAATTCTGATTGGGCAATAGTATCACATACCTTTAATCCCAGCTCTTGGGAGGAAGAGACAAGGGAATAGCTTTAAGCTTGAAGTCAGCCTGGTCTACAGAGTTAGTGCTAGAACAGTCAAGGCTACATATAAAAACCCTTTCTCAAAAAATCTAAAATAATAATAATAATAATAATAATAATAATAATGTTTCTAATGCATCAAACTAAATTGCAGCCAGGCAGCCACAATACACTGGCCTTATAAGAGGCTATATAATATATACACAGTTTTAGATATCATACTTACATTTTAAAATTATTTATCAGTGATCAGTAGTTCATACGTGGTGAGAAGAACTGCTTTTATATGTACAACAAAGGTCCCTTTTTAGGACTTTGCATCTTCTTGTCATTTGACTTTTTCTTATGCCATTCAGGCACTGCCCTGTACTTTCACCGTACATGGCTCTTGCTGTTGTGAACTTCTGTCACAGAGCCATACGGTAGGTGCTCATCAGACTGGCTTCTTTATCTCATTCTGGTTTTGAGATGAGTCTGTTGGCTGTATCAACATTTTGATGAATGCCATTCCATTATGTGACTAGAATACTAGTTTATTCTCCTGTTGATGGTCTTGAGTCTCTTCAGTTTGGGCTAGTGGGAACAGCTCAGATAAACTTGTGTGATGGCCTCATTGGCCTATTGGCCTCCTCGGCCTCGTCAGTAAGTACATGGCTAGCTATAGAAAGCTGGCAAACGATTTGTCAGAGTGGTTGAATCCAGCTGCATTCCCAACAGTGTGTGAATCTGGGCTGCTCCATTTCGTTCCTGCCCTTTGGTATGGTGTCAGTCTTTGTACTTTAAGTCCTTCTGATCCATTCTGTGGCTGTGGCTGTGAATTAGGAACTGAATTTCCTTGTCAGCAGTCACGTTCAATACTTTTTCAAGTGCAACCACCCATTTTTCATATTTGTGGTACATATTTCAGCTTACGTTAAAAAATTCTATCACTCTGTGGAAATTGTTTACATATTTGGATGTTAATCCTTCATGTCAGACATGTGTATTTATAAATATATTTTATCCAGTCTGTGGCAAACATATCATTTCACTAGTGGTACTGCTGATGAGCGGAAATTTCTTCGATTGTTGATGTCCAGTTCAATCAACATTCTGCTTTCACCGTGTTTTCACAAAAGTTTACAAAGGAAAGGCTTCCTTAGTTAGAGATGGATAAAAGTGACTTTTCCTACAGGTCTGTCGTCTGAATTGTCAGGTCTCTTTGACATCCTCAACCTATGGTCTTGGTTGCCTGTTTTTTCCTTTCTAAAGTGTTGCTTGCTATTATCTTGGGAATGTCAGAAATGACTCCTGACATGTGAAAATTTATAAAGCTACAGCCTCCGTGTGTGTGTGTGTGTGTGTGTGTGTGCGTGTGCGCGCGCGCACGCGCGCGTTCCTGCATGCACTCCTGTGAGCTTCTCTGCATGGACCCCTGCATGCATCCCTGTATGAGTTCTTATACGAGGCCAGAGGTTTAGCATCAGATGTCTTACTTTCATTCTTTTATTGAACCTGGAGCTCGCCGTGTCAGTTTGATTGACTGGTCAGTATGCTTCTCAAATCAGCACTGAGACTTGAGGTACTGAATGGTGTGGTACTCATGCTTCCGCAGCAGGCATGCGGCCCTCTGAGTCCTGTCTACAGCCTGGTCACAGAGACATGTTAGCCACATGGGGCTATCAAATGTACTTGAAATAAAGTAAAATGTCAGCTTTAAGTCATGACAGCCATATGTTGAGGACCTAGTTGGCTACACTGTTGTAATACACAGGTATACAATAGTTTTATCTTTTAAAGTAAGAAACGAGGCTTTGAGATTTCATAGCATATTTAAAGGAAACTTTCCTCAGTTTTGGTAACTGTCAACCAACTTCTACCCCCTTTTCTCTCTGGTTCTGTCTTTTTTTTTTTTTCCTGAATATTGCTATTCCATGCTTTTTGGTGCAGCTAATTCTTATATTTTACAAAAGGCAATAACTTATGTAGATTCTTTCCTGCTGAAGAGAAAGGCTCTTCACAGAATTGTTCTTTTCTGGAGTCTACCTAGTACTGTCGTGTTCAACTTCTCTCAGTGTTTGGCAGACTTCCAGCTACCATGGAGATATCTGGTCATCCCATTTCACGGTATGGTCTAGAAATAGTTATTTTGTCATTTCTATCCTAATTAAGCCACATTTCTTCTTAACATCTCCACTATAATTATGAACTTGGGAACAGTAGAAGCCATGCTGAGATTCCGTCCCAAGGGTGATTTTGTTGTCCTTTTCTTGTGAGTGCAGTTTGTGACATCCCCTGTAGTTGTCTGTTGGGCATGACCTGCATAAACACATTCTACCATTGATAAATATTCACGTCTTCTCTTTCAGTGTGAGAACTTTGCAGTCCTGGTGGATCTTCACGTAGTGCCACAAGGTTCAAACAAAGATTCCAATTGGTTTTCTGAACAGAAAAAAGAGGTACAAAAAACATTTTTATCTTTAAACAATGTTTCTTGTAATAACAGCTAGAAGAAATGTCAGCTGTTCTGAGCTTTAATTTTTCTTAGTGTTTTAAAAAAAATAATGAGTGATTGTTAAGTACTCACTGAAAAGCAGGTATGTACCTGTAGACAAGCATGTGTGTGTGTGCCCACCCTTGCCCCCTTCAGAGACTGACACAGCCATGTTTCATGTGCTAATGTATTGTTGATCCTGTTGTGGTGTGTGAGTGTGTGTGTGTGTGTGTGTGTGTATGTATGTGTGTGTGTGTGTGTGTGTGGTATTAGGGATTAATCTAGGGCCTTCACATGCTTGGTAGGCACCTCACATTCTCTTTGTCCTCATCCCTATTATTTAAACCAAAAATTTGAATCCCCTCCACTTTGAGGAAAATTGTTCCCCATAATAAAAAGGGAAGAAGAGGAAGTCAGACTATTCCAAGTGAGCAGGGATTTTGATCTGAGAGATGAGAAGAATGGCGGCACCTGTAACAGGTGTGAAGTTCACAGGAGGCTAATCTCCACATCTGTATTAATCCTCACTTTCATCTTTGCCTCTTTTCATTGTCCTGAGCCTTGACAAGTGAAGAGGAATTCCAGTCTTCCTCCTTTCATGTCAGCTAGCCAGTAAAACAGATAGTTGGTCTGGATGTGGAGTTGACTTCAAACAACATAGATTTGGGGTATGTAGGTCTGCTAATACATGAAATTTTAGGAAAATTTGAGGGAAAACAAAACTCTTAGGTTAGCCTCATAGCCTAGAAATATTTAAGAAAAATAGAATTATTTTACTGTTTACTACCAAAATGTACTACAGCTCTTTAATCATTCTGTAAGCCTCTGTTGGCTTTAGAGTGAGGTCATTTATAAGGGTCTGCCTAAAACACTGGATGAGTGGCTAATGCCACGTGAGCAGTTTATCTATCTACTAGATTGCATGCCTGAGTAAAAAATTATCTCTTATTGTTCATAATTATTTGTTTAACCATCTACACCTAACAGAAAATGTGTCACGACAATATTTTTTCATTAGTAAGGCTTTCCAGTTAGTAGTTAGCTACTATTATAGAACTAAAGAGGTGGTTTTTTTCTCAGAGGCTGAGGTAAGTTCCTAGCACCTATTCAGATAGCCCTCAACTGCCAGTAATGCCTGCTCTAGGGGCCTCAAGCCATCTTTTGGGCATGGTGATGACCCATACATGTGACACACAGGCACGCGTGCGTGCACGCGCACACACACACACACATACACACACACACACACACACACACACACCCCAAAGTCAAAATCTTAAAAAAAAAAAACAAAAATCGGTAGACTATTAGTAGTTAAATTACCGAAGAGTCACCAGTTAGTTATCCTCGGGTTTCCAACTGTATTCCTACCTCATGACTTTCAAGAATTGATTCTATGATATTTGACCTTTCTGGGAGGTTCAGTCTCTTCTTCAAATGAGAGTTTGACCAGATAAAGCCTCAGTTTCCTATGGTTTCAACACTTCTGTGAGCTTCTGTGGTGTAGAAACATTGTTTCTCTCCTTCTGTAGAGATCAGGAACAGATAGTGAGGCATAGGCCTCATCAGAAGTTTCAAAACACGCTAGCTGTATGGCTCTGGGGGTATAAAGGTGCATACTGCCCAATACTGACCTGAATTCAATCCCCAGGCCACACAAGGTAGAAGGAAAGAACTAACTTCTGCAAGATGTCCTCTGACCTGCACACGTGCACCACGGCTTGTTTGTGCCCACACAACTGCACACATATGCACCACATGTAAATGAGTAAACTTAATTTTAAAACTTTCAAAACATACTCGTCCTCATTTCCTTCATAGTATTTATCTGCTGCCATTACTCTTCAGGAAGTGAGTAAAAGTCAATTGTATTAAGTGCCAGTGTTGAATGATAACAAGACTAATAATGGCGGACGGAGAATGGTATTTGTGATCATTTTGTTCACTAAAACTAATCTACTCACCCACAAATTAGTTTTAAAAATACGTTTTTCATTAAACGGAAATACCAACATTTCTCCTCCATTTACCCCCTTCTAATCTCAAATCTTAGATCACTTACATATGTCTGTATGACTCAAATGAGTGAGTTCACTCTACCAAAGTGCCTAATATTTCACACAAGGGAACTTATCCCAGTAGCTTTTGATAGGTTCTAATATCCACCATTCCAGACCCCAGCTTTCCCATGCTCTTTCACGGCTTGAGCACTTTAGCTGTAGACCTTTATTGTTGGTATTTAGGCATCTTTGACCTAGAAGTAGTTGATATGGAATGCTCTAGAGCCAAAATCCCCTCTCCTGCAAAGCATGAGGTGAGATTTCTTGTCAAGGGGCTATGTGCAGCTGTATTCTTCCAACTAGTGCCTACACTAGAACAGTTAGGCATGACTTAGCAGAGGTGCATGATGGAACCTGCAGAGAGGTACTTCAGTGGTTCCTGCAAGAGGTCTGCTAACACCATTAAGTTGAGCTTTCTCCTCAAAGCAAAGTCAATAGGTGGCTACCTTTATTTTAGGCTCTTCCTTCAAAGTATATGTTCATTGACATTAGCATTCGTCTGAAATAATTTATGGTATGCATTAAAGGGGGAGTTAAAGGTTATTGCTTTACATTTGTTCAGTCAATGCTTCATTGGTTTTAGTCTTTAGATCATCATGATTGAGGTTTCGTAAACAACCAGTCTGATTGCATTCTAACAGTCACTTTGTATGAAAAGAGGACTGGGTTAATATATTAAACATATATTTTATTTGAGTCCAGCTCAAGTAGTCTTCGCACTCAAGAGGCAAACTGAAATGGTCCCATTTGTAAACTTGCAGAAGTTAACACAAGCCCTCTTTGTACTGAGAGGCGGTGCCTAATCTCCCACTCATAGATTTTTACTCCGTCCTCTCAGATACCTCTGACAGTTTAATCCTGCATTGCTCTAGGTCTCACCAAGCCTGGCACCATCAGTTGTTAGTTATTTTTCCCACTCTGCCCATTGCCTGTCTTTAATTCCTAAAACCTGCTTCCCAGAAGGAATGCCTGCACTATAGTGAGAAACTTCATGTGTATTTTTGTCTTACTATTTTTAGTCCTAGCCTTATAGGGTATTTATGGCCAAATTTTAACAATCCCTGTTGCTTTGTGTGTCTTCCACATATTTTCTAGCTCAGTCATAGTTGAACCCTGCATGTGAAGCAGAAATTATTTAATTGCTAGAACAACAGTACGAGGCAAGGCTGCCTTTGTGTTGTGTGAACAGTGCCACAGCATTCAGCTGCAAATGGATATCTTTATATCCCACAAAGCAATACATCTTTTAGCTTCAATAAAAAGCAAGAAAGAAAAGACTGGTATTTGTATTTTATGTAGAAATTTCTGTATGTGTGTTAAATCAAGGGCTTTATATACTGTTTAAAGGGTGTTTGCAGGAAAAGAGCTCACTGTGGCTGCTCTAAAGAGCAGCCAAAAACCTCATTCATGTTGTAATTATGAAGAGTTTAAAAGACCAACCTGTGATGTCTGAGAAACAAGTGGAACAGGTTTGCGGTGACCTGAACAACTCTGAGAATGCTGCAGAATTGTTGGGAATTGATCTAGGATTTATTACTCATTAGATGTCAGTTTTACATATATCCTGTGTATATGTAGCCTGATATCCTGTGGTAAACTACGTTTTCCTGATAATGCAGGAATCTCTACACAGAGCATAGATAGTCCCAGTGTAGATTTGGACTTCTGAGTTATTTTTGGTTGTTGTTCCTCACAAATATTATAAGCCAAGTGATATCCCCAGAAATTTACTAATATGGTATGCTGAAATTGAATTCAAGCTTAACTCTGCTACCTAATAACATTAATCTACACCAGAGACATGAGAAGCTATTTTTATCATTAATGAATGAATAATCATACTGTGATTTTAAAAAGCAAATGGAGCGTACGCCATCATCACAAGAGTGGGAAGTTCACGTTATTGGATCCCACTTTCTATTTAACCCACCACTCTGACTTTCTTGGGTTTGTAATCCTAAGACCAGAAACTAATGAATAATGGTATTTACATAACACTAAAATATTAAAAATTAAATTTGAACCATGCTTGAAAATCAAAGTTTTCACTGTTCCTGGCTTTTCTTAGACAAATAACATCTGATAACACTGTTCCTGCAAACAGGACAACAGTGTAGTGAGACCATCAGGCCAGAGTTCTGGCAGCAGTGACCTGTCCCCATGCCACTTACTATTGAAGTACTTTTACACTCCCTTCTGCCTCTGAGACCCTCCCTGAGACCATGCTGCCACCCATGTAGAGAGCGCCATGGGATTTACCTCTTCTCTCCACAGTGTGATGTACTTATATGAAAACATTCTTGAAGTCACATCCCACTTTTGAAGTAAGCTTTTAAGTCTTCCATTTGGTATTGTGAAACTGAGGTAGAGAGAAAATGGCATGAGCCAACATCGGGCATGGAGCCATCTTTGATAGTACATTTAATATACAGTGCAGTCATGAAGGCTGGACAGTCCTCATTTCAGCATTTACAGCTAGGCGTAAAAGCTAACCGAAAAGCATTTGCTTTCTTAATATGTATAATCTTTCTTCTTCCCATTGCATTAAACTAGAAATGTCTAATGTTTTACATTTACTTTAGGAAGTTTGTTTGCTGTTAAAAGAGACCATTGATTCCAGAGTTAAGGAGTACGTGGGCATTTATAAACAGCACAGGCCATCCAATGCAGAATTCACAAGATCCAGTCCCTTGTCCTTAAAAGGTAGGCAACAAGCACTGCAATTTTGGACAAAGAAAATAAAATTTCAGCTTTGTAGAGATTGCAATTATATTTCACTCTGTCATGTTAGCATAGTGATACATTTAAAAAATATGTTGTAATGAAGATACTTGTGTTTGAGGAACAAAAATTCGCCAGAAAGCCCTAAAGGACTTTTAATGGTAGGCAAAATATATAAAAATAGCAAATAAAACATTCTTAAGGAAACTGTAAAATTTTAAAGGTCGCTTGGTTTTTTTGACAAATAGTCTTACAAATGGATTTATATTAATACTGACATAAATTGATTCTCTGTCTTACGCTTTTTAGAATGTTTTCCTATATGTCATTCTATTTCAAATGTTCTCAAACAGGAGCACTGTTATTCCCTGGGGACATTTAGAAATGTGTGCAGAGAGTTTTGGTTGTCATTAGTGGCATGGAGTGGGTGTTCCTGGCCCTGAATGGGCAGAGGCCAGGGATGACAGGACAGCCATAGGACACAGAGCAACCCTTTGCTGAAGGACAGCAAGGTTGACATTCTACCTGTGATAACGCAACCTTTCCCTCCTCCTGCCTTCAGAACTTACCTCAGTACCTGTGATAGAGATGTAGTGACGTGCTGAGTGACAACACCTAGGGGACAGAGCTTGAATCCAGACCCAGCTCTTGTGAACTCCACTCCAGTGTTTTTTCTGTTCTCTCAGTCTTCTGCTTTGTTTCTCTGTTTTGTTTTGGTTATTTGTTTCTCACTGAAAATCAGCATTTCATAGCAGCCTGTGATGTAGTCAGTGCATGCTGGTGATCAGACTATAGTAGGTATATCGTGAGCCCTGTTATGCTAACAGAACAGGTTTAGGAAAATACTGAATTACATATTCCTGAAACCTCTCTATGTCTAGAGTGCTTACTTTGTATAGACGATAAACAGAGTAGGTTTTGTTACCAAAATTGAAAGGCTTGAGAGAATTGTACTTCCAAACAAAGCAATATTACTATCTAATGTTCTCAACTTGTGGTCACGACACCCACAGGGTTGCATATCAGGCATCCTACATACCAGACATTTACATTACAGTTCATAACAGTAGCAAAATTACAGTTATGAAGTAGCAAGAAAATATTGGTATGGAGGAACTGTGTCAAGGGTCACAGCACTAGGAAGGTGAAGCAGTGCTCCAAGGGATGCACTCTGGTTTACCACTCAGTGTTGTTTTATGTTATCCAAAAATGATGACAAAAGGTTTTTGCATTCACTGAACCTGGACAATCTCACATTTTCACTGGTGCAACAGGAAAAGAATTGAGCAAGATTCTAAGATTTCTGACTCTGGTACAGCTGTCACAATAGGTCCTTTGGTCAGTACTGATTCTCAACCAGCCCTTCCCTTCCCAAACCTGCCCTGGTAGCTAAAGAGGTTACATACTCAATACCCAGCTTCCCTCAAAGACATTGACAAGAAAACATACTCATGTTTGTGGAGAAAACGGTTTACTGATTAAACAGACAAAGGGATCTTAGTCTGTACACAATTTTGTAACCTTTTCCCCTCTTAATTAACATATTGCAAAAAATAAAATTTCCCATGTCACTAGTTTGGTAAAGTTGTTGTTATAAAGTACAGATAAAATTTACTATTTAGCAACTATTGAAGTGTACACTTTGGCAGCAGAAATATGCTCACGTTTTTGTGCAATTGTCACCATTACCAAGCTCCAGAAGTCTGTCACTGTCCAGTCTGGGATTTGGCACCTATGACTAATGTGTCCTCATGCTCTAGCTGAGCCCCCCGTAACAGAGGTCCTGCTAACTGGCTCTCTTGAGCTCACTACTGTCAGTATCTCCTGTGAGTCATATGTTATTTGTCGTCTTATCCTCTGGCTTATTTCCATTACAGTTAAGTTTTCAGCAGTCTTAGCTCGGCATTTATCAGAATTTCACTTCTTTTGAAATCTTACAGTGGCTGTCAAATTGACCATTCATTCATTTGTTGATGGATCACTTCCATGTTCTGGCTGGTATGAACAGTAGTGTTGTGAACTGTGAACACTGATATACAAATTATCTTTTCAAGATTTGGGGTTCTTTGAATATACACTTAGATATGTCTGGATCACAGGGTAATTCTTTTGATCTCGTTTTTGAGGTACTAATATATTATTTGCCACCGTGATTTCATTATTTTACATCCTCACTGTACAAGGAGTCCATTTTCTCTACACCTTTGCCAACCCTTATTTCCTGATACGTTGATAATTGCCATCATAACATGTGTGAAGCAATCTCTAATTGTGGCTTTTTGGCTCTTGTTTGGATGGTTGGTTTGGTACTATTTTCCTAGTGAATAATGAGGCTGGCCATCGTTTTATGTGCTCATTGGCTACTCATAAGTCTTTTATTTCTTTTGAGAAATGTCTATATGCCTTGTCCATTTTCAACTGGGCTTTTGAGGGGAAGTTATTGGAGGGCCTTATAAATTATGCATAGTAATATTACTTATTGACTATGTAATTGACAAATATTTTCTCAGTCTCTTGGTGGTTTACCTTGGTATACATATACATACGTGTGTGTGTGTGTGTGTGTGTGTGTGTGTGTGTTTCAATGTGCTAAAACAAAATACCACTTTCTTCTTTTGTTGCTGATACTTAGATGCCATGTCTGTGGAAATCATTGCCAAGTCCTGTTTTGTGAAACTTTTTTTTTTTTAATTTTTCTTCTTAAAACAGAAGTTCTATGGAATTTTAAATAATGTATCTATTTTACTTAGGATCTTTATCTCATTTAAGTTAGTTTTTACTCATTTTCATGTGGATGTCCAGTTTTCTTAGTATTCTTTGTTAAAAAGGCTACTTTCTACATTGAATGGGTTTGGTAATCTTAAAGCTCAGAAATTAACCTTCACTTCAATACCAGATGGTTATTAATAAGATTACCATTTGGTATTGAAGTGAAGGTTAATTTCTGAGCTTTCCATCCTGCTGTAGCCCTTAGTGTCTGTCACTGGTGCTGGCTCTTGAGCTTCCTGATACGCTATTGCTTTGTGGTAAGTTTTGAAATCAGAAAGCTTAAATCTCTAATTTGTTACTCTTTTCTGAGATTGTCTTGACTTATTCCAGGTCTACATTGCTATTTTTGATGAGTATAAAGTATTCTATTAAACATCAGTGTTCTTAACTTATTGGTAGAATTTGGATTGCATAGGATACCCTTGGTTCTAAAGAATTCTAATTATGTATTTGTTATTCTGGAATCTGATTTAATATTTATTGTTTTGGTGACTGATTGTGGGGTATGTGTGTGTGTGTGTTTATGCATGTGTACACAGTTGCACACAAGTGGGGCTACATTAACTCTGCAAGTGTTCTACTAGTGGGCTATATGAATTATAACTTTTTCTTCTCATTTCTTTTATATTTTTTTGAATAGGGTCTCCCTGAGTTGTTCAGAGTCCAGGCTAGCCCCAAACTTGATATCTTTTTGGTACAGTCTCCCAAATGCTAGAATTACAATCACGTACCACACCCAGCCTGTAAGACCACTTTAAAGATATTAATGTGTTTGCATATGTGTATGAATGTGTGTGTGTGTATGTGTCTGTATGTATATATGTACAAACACATGTATTCAGGCTCAAGGTTGAAGTCAGGAATTACCACTGCCTACAACTCCACTGTATTCACTGTGGCAGGTTTTCTCAGTTGAGCCCAGAACTTGTTCATATATATGGGTAGTCTTCCTCTAAGGATAGATATCCTATCACCACCTTCTAGGCATGCAGCTATGCCCAATGAGATTTACATGTGTGGTGAGATCAAAACCTCAGTGTTCCCAGTTTTGCATCAAGTGCTTAAACCCTGAGCCATATGTCTTCTGGTTCTCTGCAACAGATATTTCTGTTATTGTCTGCTCTTGACTTTGTCTAACTGCCCCACCACAGACCAGGCCCTGTTTGCTTTGTGCAGCTTCTGATGACCATTAACAGAGTAGCTACAGTGTTTAGTATAGGGAGATGATAATGTGACCAGAGGAAGCCAGGAGAGAGAGAGAGAGAGAGAGAGAGAGAGAGAGAGAGAGAGAGAGAGACTATACACATATACAAACCTCATTCAAAGTAAACTTTGCAGGAAAGCCCTATATTTTGTCTCTTCCCTCATTTTAACAATCTTTGTGCATATTTGTGTTGAGGTTTATACTGTGGCCATCCCCTTTCCCAGTAGCCATGAGCCAGTTTGTATTTCTTCCTCATTTGGAGAACTGTAGCAGGTACCACCACCGTACCTTTCATATGGCCAGTGTGCCACGTTCTGTCCATTCTTTACTTAGGCTATCCCTTAAAAGTCACAGGTCTGATCTTGTTCAGCTCTGTAGAAAGCCATCCGGGATATTCTCAGGGTCACCAAGATAAAGACCCCATAGGGAGATGAGCTGTCTGTCATCCAATACTACTTTTTCCTTTCTCCTGTTTAAGTGCCATTGACTTAATTCCTTTCTCCTAACGTTCCATTCTTCTGAAGGCTTTACTCAAACAGAACCTTGTCTTCCCTACTCTGTGTTATCATCAACTCTCTAGTCAATGTCTACTTAAGGTAGTCACCCTGTCTGTAGATTGCAGGTACCCCGAACTTACCCTCCTATCATTTGATAAACATCTACCTCTCCACAGTGTGTGAACCTCCCATGGACCAGGTCTGCCCTGTACATTCTCTGTTGTCTCTCTAGCATGCAGGGCAGTTTGTGGTCTGCAAAATACAATGCATATGTGTTTAGGTGATTGCTTTTCTCATAAGGTTAGGGGTTGCTGTAGGAAACCTGGCTTTCCTTATTTCCTGCAGACCTACATTGTTTACTTTTAATAGCTTCTCCATTGTCTGGCCAATGAAGTCCCAACACAAATTTTATTTTGTTTTTACCAGTTCTCTCATTCCTCCTTTTCTCTGAATACCTGTTATTTAGCATTTTTTGCTTATATTACCTGTACCATATTATATCTTAGCCATGC